AGACAATACCGGTGATGAACTCTGGAAGGAGAGCTGGGCAGGAAGCATCAGGACCTCTCCACTCCCAACGTCTCTGGCCTCGAGCGATGCTGTGTAGCTGACGGAGAAGGAGTCTCCAACTGCTCAGAGAGAAGGCACATGTGGGTCAAGAACGGGGCCCCTGCCACACCCCAGACACAGGCAAGCATCCAAAGGTGTCTGGCATCACAGCTGACAGCGGCAGCAAGAGCCCCTTTGATCTCACGTACTTTTTATCAGGGAGAAGAAACTGGGCAGGTGTGCTCTTGGACCCCCTCTTTTTTCACTTGGAAGGGCTGTCAGCACCCTTACAAGGAGCTTTACCTGGGTTCCACTCCATCCTGGGGCTGGGCAGCCAGTCCTCCTAATTCAGGATGTCATACACTTAGGGAATCCAGAACCTTTTTGTTTTGTTCTGAATCCAGGTGGGGACCTATTTGTTCCCAATGATCCCATCCACACAATGATGGGACAGAGTTTTTATAGGACTTTTGGGCGACACTAGCTGCCGCTTTGACACCTTCAGCTGGTTCTGAAAGCCCAGCACACAGCACAGGGAAGCAGTGCCAGACTGGGCCCGGGAGGGGGCAGTGGAGAAGGTCACTCAGGCTCACGTAGGGTCTCCTCCAACCTCATGGTCTCTGGCTGGCCTTCGATGGCTTAGTTACACAAACAGAGAAGCTTCCTAGGAGATGGGGTTTCTGACTCAAAGCTCCCCTTAGTCAGAAGCCAGGACTGTTTAGAAGAAGACGGCTCTGCTATCGGGAGGGGCCACACTCAGTCACACCCCTAGGTGAACAAGCAGGCTCTGGAAGCATGGGTGGAAAAAGAGGGACCCCAAAAGAAAGCAGGTGACAGGGTGGCCACCACTGCAGGTTTCCAGTTTTGTAGGAGGCAGGGATGTCTCAGCCCCACCTTCTGGAGGTAGAGCCGGCGTGCCCTGGGGACCCTTCTGTCTGATGTTGGAAATAGACTGTGCCCACCGTAACTACTAAAGGCGGAGTTCTCCCACTGAGCTGACGTTCTCAGGTGGGCTCCAGATATCCAGCAGAAACCGAAGGCACCTGTGAACTAAAGCAACATCTCTGTCCTTGCTCTTTCTGACGGATGCCTCTGAGCCCCAGCCATGGCCTGGGGAGGATGCTGAGTGCTGCTTTGGGGACATGGCCGTGTCTGTCCAGAGGCTCAGACTGGCGGCTGGTTGTCTGAATAGGGTGGATGTGGAAATGAGATTGTGATACTTTTTTTTTTTTTTGCGGTACGCGGGCCCCTCACTGCTGTGGCCTCTCCCGTTGCGGAGCACAGGCTCCAGACGCGCAGGCTCAGCGGCCATGGCTCACGGGCCCAGCCACTCCGTGGCATGTGGGATCTTCCCGGACCAGGGCACGAACCCGTGTCCCCCGCATCAGAAGGCGGACTCTCAACCACTGCGCCACCAGGGAAGCCCGAGATTGTGATACTTTTTTAAAAAAAAAAACAGCTTTGAGATAAAATTTATACATCACCCAATTCACCTGTTCTAAGCGTGAGATTTAGAGAATTTTGTATACTTACAGAGTTGTACAGCCATCACCACAGTCTGATTTCAGAACATCCTTATCACCCTAAAAAGTAGCCTGGTGCCCAATGGCAGTTACTCTCCATTGCCACCCCCAGCCCTAGGCAACCACTGATCCACTTTTTGGGGACTAATTGGCCTTTTTGGACATCTCATAGAAATGAAATCATACAAGCTGTGTTCTTTGTGTCAGGTTTCTTTCCCCGAGCAAACCTCTTTTTCTTGAGGTTCGTGCATGTCGTAGTGTGTACCAATACGTCATTCCTTTCTATTGCTGAGTAATATCCCACCGTATGGATAGACCACATTTTGTTTATATGATACTCTCATGTCCCTTACTTCCATGGAAATTTTTAAAAGTGAAACGTATGAAAAAATTGGGGTTCAATGAGTTTCAGCTTCTGAGTCAAGAAGCTGCACCCTTCTGCTGAAGGAACCCCAACTCCTCCCGGCAGCAACAACCATCAGGGGGAGTCTGGACAGAATAAAACAATGGGAAGATGGTCTGGGGAAGCTTAATTTAAGAATTTTGACTGTGGACTTCAAAACTTACAAGGGCAAAGATTTTGATCTCAGATTTTAATTCCTTTTGGACTTGAATATATTTGGATTTCTATCCGTCAGGGATTCATTCCTGAACTTTTCACTTCTCCGGGAGAATTTGCAAAAGGGAGGTGCTGGCAGGTCATTGTTGGAGGATCTTGATGCGAATGAACTCAGGGTTGTCCTTGAATCCTACTGCAAAACCCCTGACATACTTTGTTTAATAGCGTAGCAGGATGTGATCTGAATGGGTTTTAGAATTAGGGAGAATTTCCAGCCTTGGGTCTGGAGTATCCTTTGAGTTTATTTCAATAATGTAACGCTCGAGTTATTTCCAAAACCTTCATGGGGCAGGAAAAAAGACTTCTTCCACCAACCAGCAGTCCCAGAGGGACACACGCAGGGGCAACGAATGGGGGTTTGGGGGAGCAGCGCTGTCCTGAGTCCCGACCAACAGCTGTTCTCCTTCCCCAGGGCACTAGTCACCCCCCTGGCAATCCTCAGATTAACCAGAAGCCCAGTGGGTTTGGAGAACAAAACGACGGAGATCGGCAAGGGAAGCACATACCCACCACCCTTGAGGTTTCTGTCCCTGAGCATGGGTGTCCCACCTGAAACAGGGCTGGCCTCTCCCTGCCCCTCTCTCACTGAGCAATGCACGCCATCCGATGGGAAGTTTGGGTATGCATTGCCAGTCAGCCTATCTTACTCGTGGGAGTGGGCTACTGGCAGAAAGCAGGACTTGGCTTGCTTTTTTGTCAGGATGGGGGAGCCATCCCAACATGTCCAGTGGGTGACAAAGCCTGTCCAACTCTGCTGGTCAGTCAGCCAGCCCACCTGATCTCACCTACACTTGTCCTCTGACTCTGTCTGTACCTGTATCAGGGGTGATATTTTATCCCTAATACGCTATAATGTGCTTCATCTCTCAATGTACTGAGACCTCAAAAAGATGTAAAGAAAAGAGGAGAAATTAGCACTGAGCCTGTGGAATCCCTAGGATTTTTGTTTTAAAAATCTTCAACATTTTTACTTTATTTGTGTATAATGATAAAAGTTAGATCATAAAGATAAGCTGATAAAGATTCAATTGCTAATTAAAATGATAATACCAGTGAAGGTCATTATAATCAGACCTGGCAGTGATTTTATCACCCTCAAAATGTCTGCAGGACATCAACCAGTTGATCCCCAAATGGTGTCCTGAGACGGATGGAAAGTACAATATTTCCTGTTGCAGACAGAAGAGAAAACTGAGACTGACGGAGATGAAGTGACTTGTTTAGGGTCACCCAGTTACTAAGTAGGAAGCCGCCCCTCCCTCTTGGACTTGTGGCTCTTTTAGAGCAGCAAATGTTGATGATGAAAATGATATTGATATTGTCAGAGCATCAATGAGCTGGGGTCGGAGGGGTCATTTGATTCTGTAGTTCTATACTTATTCTTTGGGAAAAAAGTTTCATGCCACTAAGTTGAAAACCAATGTCACATCCCTTGAGATTGCGGTAAGTTACAGACAAACATAGTTTGGATATTACTCTCAGGGCGTGTAGAATCTAGTAGGCAGAGGTAAGGCGAGGGTATACATACAATAATATACAGTCACAAGAGTAAACATAGTTGGCAGCGGCTGGGAGGCAGGGGGCAATGGAGTTGCTATTCAATGGGGATAGAGTTTCAGTCACGCAGGATGAAAAAGTTCTACAGATCTGCTGTACAACAGTTAACAGTACTGTACTGTACACTTAAAAGCTTGTGAAGAGGGCAGATCTTATGTGTTTTTTACCAAACACAAAAGTAAAAAATAAAGATAATCACAACAAAATAGCCATGGACTTGGGAGCACTTCCCACGGGCCAGGCTGTGTTGCTTGCTTTTCGTGAACGAACTAGCTTCTCCTTAGAAGGACTCCCTGAAGTGTGTTACCAGCACCCACAGTTCACAGGAGCAGAGGCTGAGGTTCAAGGGTGTGCAGAGCTCATGTGCTGGGGTGGAAGTCAGTGAGTTCATGCATGAAGTGCCTGGGTGGTCCAGGCTCCAAGCAGGTGAAATGCAGGAGGGGCAGGTGAATGAGATGCAGGGAAGGAGAGAAGGACCCTCCAGACGGACACAAGAGCAGGAGCTGATGTCGAGCCATGGGAGAAAAGTGACAAGTTCGGTCCGCAGGAGCATGGACTACAAAATACCATTGGAGCAACAAGACAAGAGAGGCAAGCCACACTGGAGCAGGCAGAGCGCCAGGCCACATCACCTCGTCTCGCCTCTGCAACAGCTCTACGAGGCTGTTATCCGCATGCCACATCTGGAGTTCAGAGACGGTGATTTACAGGGGCCACACAGCTCCAAAATGGCGAAGTTAGGAGTCAAGCTAGGTCTGTCTGAGACCGAGTCTGTGCTCAGCTTACAGCCCCACGTTCTTTTCTCTGAGCACCAGTTTAAGAATTGGGGGGATTTATTTTTACATCATTGAAGAAAGGCACTGAAGATCACTTAGCTGGGATGTATCATACACTTTTTATGACACTGCTTAAACCAGAGCCAGCAAAGAGGTCATTACTTGTGGGCCAACTCCACTGGTGGCTTCTGTCAATAATATGGTGTTAAGAAGGATTCTGAGGCTTCATCTAGACTCAGAGAGAAAGAGTGGTGGATTGATGAGCAACGTGGGTCATGTGTATGGAAGTGGAGAGGTCAGTAAGAGTCCCAGGCGTGTGAGAGGCACTAGAGCATCCTGGGTACGGGGTGGATGGAGGAATCCAGACATTCTGAGTTTGAATCTCAGCCTTGAGTGCCAGTCCTATGGCCTTGGGCAAGTTCCTAACCACCTTAGTCTCTATCTGAAGACAGAGCACGTACTCAGAATAAAAGAAATCTCACCTTCCTAGGAAAACTGACAATTCTGAAGTCATAGTAACAACTGCATCCAGAATTGGTTTTAAATCTCCTTAATTAACCAATGACAACTCGCCTCAGGAAACACATCTCTGAAAGCCAATGAGTGACGGTGTCATACCTTGAAAGGGAGCCAATCAGTAGCAGAGTTACTCCCGTGAACACGCCTGAACACGCTTGAACATGTCAAGAGCATGCTTCCAGGGCTGATGTCAGACCACGCCCATGTCTGTCCAGCACTCCCCAAAACAAGCTCTTCATTTTACTGAGTGATGATCATTTTGGTCATCTGGGTGATGGATATATTGGAGTTCACTCTAATCTCTGTGTATGTTTGAAATTTTTCATAATAAATGTTGAATATATATATATTTCAAAAACTCTTTCCCCAAATCCCACCTCTCTCAACCTAAGTGACAAGCCAGCTACCTGGCTGCAGATACTGAGCAGTGGCTTCCTCCTCTGATGCCCTGATAGTACAATCCGTTGTGAGGACCAACTGCATGAACACATGTCACGTGTCTAAGAAGATGCCTGCTGCACATCCCGTGCTCTGTGAGTATCTGTACGTATTTTCATCATTTTCCACCCCTGACTTCATACACATGGCTATTACCTTGCAGAAACTTCTTCCTGAAAGCCTGGAACCCTCTGGAGGTCTGGTTTCCAGCCGACTCCCTAACGGTGAGGCCGGTGATGTTGTCCAGTAAGAGCAGGTCAGAGAGGTTGGCAGCCGCGGGCGTCCTGGTGTTGTTCACAGACAGTCGCACATGAGCTGTCGGCCACTCGCTCTGCACGGACACCTAGGACAGGAGGCAAAGTGAGGATGGGCTTGCTGGCAAACCCGACTTCCCAAAACGAGGCCCCAGCTCAACCTGTGCCCGTGGGAGGGGATTAAGGTCTCACAAAGGTTCTAGAATTTATCAGGTTTGATTTCAAAGGCCCCAGGAGAATTTTGACTCCCGCTTGCCAAGTTGTTGCTCAGAGATCATCTCAAAGAAACCGGGACCCTGAAATGCAGTGAAATGATGCCCACAGGGAAACTTAGAAGAAAAAACAGCCACGCACAGGACCACAGTCAGGCTGGGGAGATTGTGACAACTGGTGTCCCCAGGAAAAGCAAACAGTGGCTCTTTCTTACTCTACTAGTTTGAAGATTCAGCCCCAGCCAGTCCACGGCCTCTGACTGCCATCTGATCTCCAGGTTTGCCCCAAGCTGGTCTCCTGTCTCCTGGCCAGTCGCCCCCTTCAGGGTTCTGCCTGCCCATGTGTTTGAATAGCTCAGGGCTAGGGAGTTCCCTGGTGGCCTAGTGGTTAGGATTCCAGGCTTTCACTGCTGTGGCCTAGGTTCAATCCCTAGCTGGGGAACTGAGATCCCCCAAGCCATGTGGTGAGGCCAGAAAAAAAAAAAAGTTAAATGAATAGCTCAGCTATTCAAAGCCAATGGCCCACCAGCAGCCTGGCTCCCCACCTGGCCTCTGCGACGTTGCCCTGCTCCCTCTCTCGAACCCTATCTCCCACCACTCCTGCCCTTCCTTCATCCCAGCTCTGCTGAAACAGACACAGGAGCTGAGAAAAGAGAGGGCAGCCATGTATGTCCCAAGAAGAGTGAGCTCTGGAACATAATAAATGAAAAAAGCAAGTTGTAAAACTTCAGGTATGGAATACTGGCACCAACGTAAAAAGGGGAAGAAGGAAGGTATGTGTATGTACCTACATGCATACGCACAGACACACACACACACTCATAACTGAGTGCATGTGGCAGGAAACATCTTTAGAAGGACACAGGAGAAACTGGTAGTACCAATTTTATCCAGGAAGGGGAGCAAGACAGCTGAGGGCCTGGGTTGAAATGAGGGCTGTGCAGTACATGGTCAGCTCAGCAGGCTTGGATTGTCCAAACCTTGCACATCCCAAAGAGAGGACCAGCTCCTGGGAGACTAACCTCTAAAGCCCTTGGCATATCCTGCCTGATAAGAGTGTCTTTATATCCTACGGCTTTGGGCCGCCCCAGGTAGTCTCTGCAAACAATGTGGTTCACGGTGAGGGCCTTGGGCCAAGCTATGCTCAGGTGACCTGAATAACAGAGGTCAGCGACATGGGTGCTTCATGCCTACGTGGTGGATCCTTAATAAAAGTCCTGGATTCCATGGCTTGGGTGAGCATCCCGGGTTGCTGCCACACATCATTGCTGGGCAAATTAAACGCCGTTCCTTCAACTCCACCAGGAGAAGACTGGCTGTCTTGGGCCTGGTCTCCCCAGAACTCTGTCCTATGTGCCTTTTGCTTTGCTGACTATAATCTATATCATTTTGCTGCTATAAACTGTAACTGTGTGTAGAACCGCTTTTCTGAGTTCTGTGAGTCCTTCTAGGGAAGCATTGAACCTGAGGGTGGTCTCGGGGACCCTCAACACAGGATCATGTGAAAGCCATCTCATGAGATTAGTAAGGGTCAAAGACCTAAAAGACATTAAGTGAGTTTTTAAACTGTCGGGCATCATATCAATGTTAAAATCTGAGAGAAAATATATACTTTCTCATTTTAAATGATCACAGAGGATTTTCACTGCCAATAATTTTATTGTTACCAAAAAATCTTAGTCCTGGTGCTGCCATATAAAATATAAGATCCCTGTGGGTCGCATCATCACCGGTGTCCAGACGTGGGTAGATAACCACGTGATTTGCCAGTTCTTTAAATACATAACTCTGCTAATATATGATTTGGGCAAATTCAATTATTTTCTCTTTAAGTATAAACTACCTATGAATACTCACCACTGCACATTTCTGAAAAATTACTCCATTCTCAGAAGTTCCTTGAATGTCTCTTGAAATGTCTCCATACTACAATAAAATATAGAAATCATTAGAAAATGAAAAATATTTCGTGCTACATTTGTCAAGTAAAAGTACAAGATGAACTTTATTTTTTTTTTTTTTGCTGTACGTGGGCCTCTCACTGTTGTGGAGCACAGGCTCCGGATGCGCAGGCTCAGCGGCCATGGCTCACGGGCCCAGCCGCTCTGCGGCACGTGGGATCTTCCCGGACCGGGGCACGAACCCGCGTCCCCTGCATCGGCAGGCAGACTCCCAACCACTGCGCCACCAATGAAGCCCAAGATGAACTTTTAAAAGGGCCAGGCAGAGGGGTTACTTCTGCTGGTGTAGTAACTCCCATCAATCCTGAAGATTTTTTTAAAAGGAGTATTACAGGACTGGAACTTAAAACCTATGAGGGAAGAAGAACGTGGACGTGGATCACATGGGGCTATGTCCTGGTCTGGGGTGCGTGTCAATGACACCATTATCACAGGGACTCAGCAAACCAGGGTTGACACTTCAGCAGGAGGAATGTGAGAAGAGCTATGGAAAAGTCCTTTAAGGACTGCACGCATGTCCTGTGTGGGGTACACCAGCCACACAGCAGGGACTGAGTGAACGTGGACCACAGCATGGTGGGGCACCTCCCATGAGCTGGATGCATCATCAACAGGGAGAGAATCAACCCGGGATTGGGCTCCTCCAGCCCCACGATGGCTCCCCTGGAAGGACACCAGTGGAAAGCCAGAGCTCGCCCACCAGATGCCAGCCCCGCTGCCCCTTGTAATCACAACCGGTCCCTGCTCATTTCCGCCCTTGCCAAATGCCCCGTGACCCCAGGCCATGCCTCCCCGCTGTCTGCCCTGCCCCCCTCCATCTGCAGTGGGTGGGGCCATACTCTCAATCACAGACCACGGCAGCTCTCAGTGATACCAACGATCATAACAATGGCTACTCTTTCCCAAGTGCCAGGCATATGCCCATCACTGTACACACATGAATTCTATTACTCCCATTTTACAGAGGAGGAAACTAAGCCTCACGAGGGTTAACGCACTTGCCCAAGGCTGCATAGGCAGGCAGCTTGGACTCCACCCCAGGCTGTGTGCTCTGTATCCTATGATCCTCCCACACCACACACCCCTCTCCAGAGCGTGACCCTCTCATTGTACAGAAGCGAACAAAGACACAGAAAGGGAAAGTGACGTTCCTGTGAACACGCTGACCACATGCAGCAGCATAAGCTGACCAGGCCTCCGATTCCAGCTGAGTCTCTGTCCACGACCCCACCCTCGTGCTCTGACGTGCCAGGCCCCCAGTGAGTCCTTGAGGGCAGACGCCTGGCTTTCTACTCTTCTGATCCCCACACAGCATCTTGCAAACGACAATTGAACAAACATAGCTTGTTGGGCAAAGACACACAGGAGGGGGGATGGAGGTGCTGCCGAAAGAGGGGCTGAGTCCCCTGTCACTGGAGAGGGTTGGAAAGACGATGACCAACATGGTGGGTTGAATGTGGCTGCACGTCCTAAAGCCCAGAAGCTGGGAATGTCACGCTATTTGGAAAAGGGGTCTTTGAAGATGTAATTAAGCCAAGGATCTCGGGATGAGATCATTCTGGATTTAGGTGGATTGGATTTAGCTAGGCCCTAAATCCAACGACAAGTGTCCTTACCAGTGACAGAAAAGGAGAATACACACCCACAGAGAAGAGGCCACAAGAAGGTGGAAACAGAGTGACAGTAAATGTTACACGTCAACTGGCCGGGCCATGGTACCCAGCCATGGTACCCAGATATTTAGTCAAACACGTCCAGATGTCACTGTGAAGGTATTTTAGATGAGAGCAATGTTTAGGTCAATGGACTTTGAATAAAGCCGCTGACCCTCCATGAGGTCATCGCCCAATCAGGTGAGGCCTTAACGGAAAAGACTGAGGTTTTCCCTAAGGAAAAGGGAATTCTGTGGCAGACACCTTTCCAACTTGAGCATCAGCTCTTCCCTGGGTCTCCAGCCTGCCCTGCAGAGTGTGGACTTGCCAGTTCCCACAATCACATGAGCAATTCTTTAAAATAAATCCCCCCCCCTCTCTCGCTCACATGTGTCCTACCTGTTTTGTTTCTACCAGTTTTGTTTCTCCAGGGAATCCTAATATAGAGATTGGAGTGAGGCAGCCACAAACCAAGGAGAGCTATCAGAAGCTGGAAGAAACAAGGATGGGTCGTCTCCTACAAGCCCCCAGGGACAGCACGCCTCTGCTGACACCTTGACTTCCCACCTCCAGAATAGGGAGAGAATAAATGTCATTGTTTTAAGCCACCACGTTGGTGGAAATTTGTTACACAGTCTAGGAAACTAATACAAACATGTAGCCGGGGGCCAAGAAGGGGCTTGTGGTCATGGTAGCCTGTTGGCCGAACGCAGTGGTCCTCAAGGCATTTTAAGTCATGAAAGCTTAGGTGAAAGTCAGCGCTATGTGAAGCCAACACATTACACAGAATATGAAGGACAGCAGGGCAGGGGCAGTGGTTAAGAGCAGGGGCTCCAAATCCTGGCTCTGCCACTTCGGCCTGTGGGACCCTGAACAAGCCTCTTAATCTCTCCAATCCTCATTTCCTCTCTGTAAAATGGGAATTAAAACAGTACCTATTTAAGAAACTCATAATGAGGCCCCAGTGAGATTATGCATAGACAGTGCTAAGCCTCATGCCTGGCAAATAGAAAACATTTGTTAAACACCTAGCCCTATTGTCGGTAGCAGCATTTTTATAACAGGCGCAAGTGAATCAGTCTGGTTAAAACAGGACGCCCTGCCCTGCTTTAGAACCAGCTGACGCGGGGGCCCAATGCTCAGATTCACACATCCTGTTCATTTAAATACTGTATATTGTACGGAAGCAGCAGCTCTCTGGAAAGTAAGAGGGATTTGCTTCCTAATGATAACTATATTCAGTGAAAGAGGAAGAATAGGTTTTTTGGAGGAACAAAAGCCTGTGATATTTTCTACACATATGGTCCAAAATTGGCTTCTTTACAACTTCTGATATGTCTTTTAAAGAACTGAACATGTTACTTACCAAGTGGTGTGTTACAGCAGACTCTCTTTTAAACAAGGTCTTCTTGGGCCACGAGGGTATAAAAGCAAATATGGAATGAATCCATGGCCCACTAGAGGCTGCAGAAGTCGGGGGTGGGTTAAAGGCTTCAGTTTTCTTACTGAATTTCATTCTAAATGGTGCTTCTGCTGCAAAATAACAACGCACATGCATTACGTGATACAGAAAGGCAGCGGTTAAACTCCAGAGGCAAACCACGTGGTACGTGAAGGCACTTGGAAAATCTTTGCTGAGTAAGTGAATAAATGAGTGAATGAATGAATGGCTTACCATCTCTTTGCCAAGAAGATGAGGCATTCTCATTGGGAGACACAGAGCTTAAGGACAGTGTTTCTCGAAGTCTATGCTCCTTACCTTGGCTGTAGGCTGAAATGTACATTCCTGGGCCCTGCCCCAGACCTACTGAGTCAGAACCACTAGGCAAGGGAGGAGCCATAGGTGATTCTTACACACCTGGCATCAGACACGCCCTGTGTTCGAATCCTGGCTCTGTCACTCACCAGCTGTGTCCTTGGGAAACTCATCTGACCACTGCATAAATTTATATTTTGAAGTGACCTGAATTGTGGAGTTGTGCCTTTTCGACATTTATCTTCTATCCAGATATAAACTTATACTGACTAAGAACGAGTCCTGTTATTCAGTCTTTCTTACACAGAGTATTGATAGCAAGGTCTTTAGAAGTGCTTTTGAACCCTTTTTTAACAGAATTTCTAAATATATGTAGGAAAAATTAAAATTAAAACAAAAAGGACGTGGAACTGGAATCCTAGATAAAATCAGTATCTTTTTTTCTAGAATAGTATCTGTGGTTGATTCAGTTCATGATGCTGGAATGGCGATGAAGGTGAGCATCGGGGAATTGACAGCGCTCACACGGAAAGAGGCAGGAGCTCTCCCAGGCTGGCTGCTCAGTCGGGATTGTTTGCGTCAATCACACAAGTGGGACAGGACACCCACCTCTGGACCGCAGCCCAGCCCCTCGGGCTAAGAACAAATGCTTTCCCAGGAGACTTGCTGGATGTAAAATCCTAAGGCCACTCTGGGCTTTATCTCTGGTGCAGGCATCCTGCAGGTGCCCCCTGCTCCTCCAGGCCTTCAGAAGGCCCAGCCGCAGGCTCTGATGAAGACCTGAATGAGGCAGCCACTGCTACTGTCCACAGACAGTATAGAAGGAAGTCAAGCTCCGAAGTGACCATCACCACCCACTGCATCATTGCCCAGCAGCCTCCCCACTAGTGCCACTGTCACGTGGGTCACCTGTACTATTTGTGCAGGTGTTTGGATGCACCCTTACTCCCTCGCCTCTGGGCTGCCACAGGCCTGGAAGCCTCTCCCTCCATCCCCTTGTCCTGCTAACTACCACTCCTCAGGACTCAGTTGAGCAGCACCTCCTCCAGGAAGCCCTCCCTGAAGCCCTCCCAGTGGCCTTAGTCCTCCACCCCCTGCTCTCACTACAACCACAGTCCTTAGTGCACTGTGCTCTCTTTGACCGACAAGTCTGCTTAATCAGTGGCTAAAAGGTCTCTGTGATTTCTGTGATCACCTCAACCTATTTTATGCAAATGAAAACATTGGATTTTGTAAAATGTAAAGACTGCAGAGAGTAATAAAAGATATAAAAAGTACTTTTAACTCCCCCAGGAAATGAAATATGTTTATCCCTGGTATAAAACAAAGAGGTGTATTCATAATCTGTGCCGAGAAGATTCTGGACAAAAAAACTATTCTGCCTGCCCAGTACCCCTGCCTTCATGGTAGCCCCCCCCACACACACACTAGTCAGTAAGATTCTTAGTCTATATAGAAAAACCTGGATCCCAGCCCCTCCTGGTCCCCAGGAGGCCAGAATTAGGCACAGAACCCAGAACACTCTCCCCCCAAGCCCCAGTGACAGAGTCAGGGACTGGCATGGGACCCAGGCTGCACCCACTGGTCTTTCCTGAACTTTTGCCGAGCTACTGGGAAGTCTCTTCCTTTCTGCAAGTGGCAGCAGTCAGACTCCTGGAAGTCCAGGGCTGCCAATGGTTGTCTTTCCCACCACGTGGAAAGAATGTTCCTGAAAATCACACTCACCAGAGGAAAGCAGGGGCCGTGATGGAAAGAGAAAGGCAGAGCCCTGACATATATACACTACCATGTGTGAAACAGATAGCTAGTGGTAACATGCTGTATGCACAGGGAGCTCAGTCTGGCGCTCTGTGATGACCTAGATGGGTGGGATGGGGGGCAGGTGGGAGGGAAGTCCAAGAGGGAGGGGATATATGCATACATACAGCTGATTCACTTCATTGTACAGCAGAAACTAACACAACATTGTAAAGCAACTATACCCCAATTAAAAAAAAAAGAGAGAGAGAGAGAGAAAGGCAGAGTCCTGAGAACACCACTCCCACGTCCAGCAGTGCCGAGGGCCTGCGAGGCCCAGTTATAGGGACCAACAAATTCCTCTTTGCTTAAGTTAGTTTCAGTTGAATTTCTGTCACCCAGTGTGGTAGGCTGAATGACAGTCCCCAAAGATACCCAGGTCCTAATCCCAGGAACCTGTGAATATGTTACCTTATATGGCAACAGGGACTCTGCAGATGTGATTAAATTATGGGCCTTGTGATGGGGAAGTAACCTGGATTACCCAGGGGCCCATAAATGTAATCCCAGGTGTCCTTAAAGAGGGAGGTAGAGAGAGATCTGAGAGGCAGAAGAGAAGGCCATATGCCCGCTGAGGCAAGATGCTAGTCTGCTGGCCTGGAGGCTGGAGGAAGGGGCCATGACCTGCAGAATGCAAGGAATACAGCTCCAGATCCTGCAGAAGGAAAGGCCTTCTTCCTAGGGCCTCAGAGGGCGTGAGGCCCTGCTGACACCTTGACTCAGACCAGTTAGACTGATTTTGGACTTCTGCCCTCCAGAACCATAAGGGAATATCTTTGTGCTGTTTTCACCACTAAATGTGTAATAACTTGTTACAGCAGCAAAAAGAAACTCGTACACTTGGCTAATACAAACATTCTGCATTTTCTTTATCAGATGCCTTCGGGGGGAATGAAGACAGACCACCTCACCCTGAATTCTGGGCTGTGCACCCAAACTCCAACGTGCTGCTGTAGCAGGTGACACACTGCCTTGCTCTGTAAGGCACGCTGGTGAGCAGGGGGAAGGGAGCAGAAGTAGGAGGGCTATGGCTTTAGGGTCTGGTTCTCTCTCGTGGTCAAATCAATAAAAAATCAACCAAAAGAAAAACTTACCTGCAGTCAGAAAGTGAGAGCTTTCCACACTGGGCCAAATCCCATGGGGCAAGTCCTAAAAAGAGTCAAAAGGCACAAAGACATTAACGAAGGACATACTAGGAGTGGCTGAAAGCCATTTTTGTAAATGGCTCACGTGGAGAGGAGCTGCACTTTTATCCAGAGGTCTGATGTAAATCTTTCTAAGTCGATCATCCCACCAGCTTTTGAATATAGGATGATGTAACTGCAGCTCTGGGAGCTGTCTAGGGAGACAGCAGAGTGTAGGGGAAATTTTATATAGTTGGACAGACCTGGGTTCAGATCCCATCTCTGCTTTTCACAAACCCCGTGATGCTGGGAGAGCCTCAAATCTCTGAACTCCCAAGATCCTGCAAGTTTTCACAGACTGGCACATAAAACACTAGCCCGGGAGTCCGGAGAACTGGATTCGAACTGGACCATTTACTCGCTGTGTGTCCTTGGCCAAGTCTCTCAGCCTCTCTGAGCCTCAGATTCCTCCTCTGAAGACTGTGGACCTCAAAGCATCCTCCCAGCTTGCTTCACCTCGTTCAGTGATGAAAACTTGTCTAAATGGGGCCCAGCCAACCCCTCCACTCTACTTTTGTAAAATACTGAGGCTTGGAAAGGCCCAGACCCCACCACTATAAAATAATGATAATAATAATTACTGTTATTATAGTGCCCTGGCTACAGCCATTGAAGTGGGCCAAGCCGTCTGTCCACAGCAGCATTATTCACAGTAGCCAAAAGGTGGAAGCAACCCAATGTCCACTGATGGATGGATAAGTAAAAGTGGTCCATGCATACAATTCTACTTATAGGAGGTATGTCAAATTCATAGACAGAAAGTAGAATGGTGGTGGCCAGGGGCTGGGGGACAAAAGAATAGGGGGGGTTGTTGATTAATGGGGACAGAGTTTCAGTTTCACAAGATGAAAAGAGTTCTGGAGATGGAAGCACAAGAGTGTGAATGTATTTAACATTGCTGAACTGTTAAGAGGGTAAATTTCGTTATGTGTCTCGTGCAACAATTACAAATATAAACAAAGAAATAAATAAAGCAGATCTGTGATCACCTAGAAAGAACTCTAATATATATCAAGTAAGATCCCTAGGTCATAAAATTATGAATAATATGGTTTCATTTAATAAAAATGGCATTTTTGTATGCTTAAGACATTATTATATATTTAATAATTACATATATGTATTTATATTATCTTTAGTTTTATATAAATTACAGTTAGTTTACTAGTATATATTTACATATTTACTTACATATTTAATAACTTGAAAGTATATCTATATATATGTAGATATTTAACAATATACTTAATACGAATTATTTATACATTTAATATATAATTACACGTTTTAACAATATATAATATCATAACCATGCATTATTTCTAAAAGCCTAGAAAGGAGTATGCTGAAATCTTAGACTTTGGGTCTTGGGGACCAAGTCTGTGCACAGTAGAGGGGAGAATCCCTCGTTTCCACGCCACCTATATTGTTTCATTTCTTGTAAGAGGAGTGTGTGCCCACGTGTCATTGCAACAACAGCAATAAGGAGAACATAGACTGAGTGATGGGAACTACGCCTGTTCCTTCAGGGTCTTCCAGGCCCCCCACCCCCAATGTGAACGTTGTCCCCGACACCCCCTCGGACAGGTGTGTGTGGCCAGGACAACCACTAATCCATAACGTGCCTTCCACAAGGTGGAAAGAGATGCCACTTCCTCAGAAGAAGAATGCCGTGTGCCAGACACTGATGTGGATGGAATAAGTCTTTGCTGCCATCTGGCAGGAAAAAAAAATCTCCTAAGAGCATACAACCAGCCTGCGCATAGTGACCTCCTTCTAACAAGTACGGTGCAGGGGGAGGGGGTAATTTCACAGTGGAGCAACCTGGCCAGCGCTGGTCCAGCCGGGAGTTCAAGGTCAACACCGACAGCGAAACATCCCAGAAAACTTCCTCTTAATGGCTAATCTCTACTTCTGAAATTGAAGACCATGGCATAGTTTCCAACTTATTTAATATTTCTTTCCCTTTGACTGGGAATCCACTAAAGAATCATTTTTGTCATTGTGTGTTTCATTTAAGGAAACATTTACTAATATGATCATTTTTACTGTGTGAGCAGATGTCTTTTCCCAATTTAATTCCTGGAAGCCAGGAAGAATTCCAAGCAACTCACAATTATTTGACAGTTTTCCATCTTTGTTTCCACTGGTAGAAACAGCCTTCTTAAATGTTCAACTCTTTCAAATAAATTAATAATATCTTGAATTTATGTTCATGTCTAATCTAATGTTCCCAAACTGGGAAAATTTCTAGTCAGAGAAAATTCCCCAAAGCTGTTTTGTAGGACAAGGTGTTCTGTACATTATTTTTTATGTGGCTGCATATCATTATAAACATAGAAACAACAGTTTAATGTATCTAAATCTGTCTTCCTTTGATGCTCATAAATTGAATATGCCCTTAGGACCATGTGGGTGTTTTTTCACTGTTATAAACTATAGTGAAATCTGAAAACAAACAAATGAAAAAAAAAAAAAAACGCCAATAGCGATAAATCATGTTACTAGATACACCAAGATGAATCCCAACAGAGGGCACCCTGCAAAGTACCTGCCCAGTCCTCTCTAAATTGCTGAGGTCCTCAAGACAAGGAAAGTGACGGCTACATGTAAAGTGGTGTCCTGGATGGGGTCCTGGGACAGGAAAGGACATTGGGCACAAAAGCTAAGGAAATCCGAATAAACTATGGACTTCTACAATAGCATATCAAGGTTAGACCATTAACTGTAATAAATGTATCTTACTAATGTAAGACACTAATAGTGGGGGATACTGTGTATTGGGGGGGATATATATGAATTTTCTTTACCATGTGTACAATTTTTCTAAAATCAAAAACTGTTCTAAAAACTAAAGTCTGTTAACCAGAGAAGACTAGAATTCATTCGTGAGGTCTCTGGGGCAAACAGTGGTGCTACGGGGCACCCAACTCCGACACGACTGCCTATACGATCCCTGCCCCTGGAACTTTCCATCCATTCTTTCACCCAGCCTTTGCCACTCGGCAGGCTCTGTGGCAGGTCCCTGACCTCACCGACGGACAGAGGTCCCCTTCCCAACAGACGCTTCCGCTTGAGGGGGAGGGGCAGGATCCCAGGTAGCAAATGACTCGGGAAGCCCTCAAGTGCCAGGGACCCTTGGGGACCCTTGGCTGTGGCTCCCTGAGGTCTCGCCGGATCCTGGGTCTCACTAGCCTAGGGGTGACTCTCTGGGGGCTCCTTGGCCACCGTGAGCAGCCTGCTCTCACAGACACCACACCAACTGCCAGTCGATACCCACCTTCAATATCCAGCCTTCCCCTCCCTGGTGATCCCCTTCTCCGAGATGACACAGCTCCTGACAAGGTCACCAGGACCTCTACAAGGCCTCAGTTCACAGCCAGCTCTCCATCCTTATTGCACACAACTCACCAGCAGCATTTGGTATGTGAGTGTATTAGCATCCTATGGCTGCTGTAACAAGTCATCACAAACTGAGTGGCTTAAAGCAAACACATGTTTATGACTGTACGGTTCTGGAGGTTAGGAGTCTGACATGGGTCTCACCAAGCTAAAATCAAAGTGTCTGCAAGGCTGCATTCTTTTCTGGAGGCTCTGGGTAAGCCTCTTCCAGCCTCTAGAGGCAGCCCACACTCCTTAGCTCACGGCCCCTTCCTCCATCTTCAAAGCCAGCAGCGGTGGGTTGAGGCCTCCCAGTGCATCCCTCTGACCTTCCGATGTTACATCTTCTGACTCTCTCCTGCCTCCCTCTTCCATTTTTAAGGACCCTTGGGATTACCCTGGGACCACCGGGATGTTCCAAGATAACCTCCCTTTTATAAGGTCAGCTGATTAGCGACCTGAACACCACCTGCAATGTTAATCTCCCTTTGCCATGTGATGTAATACGCTCACAGGTTCCAGGGATCAGTATGTGAACATCTTTGAGGAGCCCTCTCTCCCTCTGAAATACTTTCCTCCCTTGACCTGTGGGTCACAGTCTTGGTCTTGTCTCCTTTGCTGGATGCCTGGCCCTGGTGTTGCTCCAGGCCTCTGCCCTAAGGCCTCACTCTTCTCAAACCAAACCATACCTACTCCGAAGGGGAACTCAGCCAGGCCCTGTGGGGTTAAAGGCCTGTGTACACTGTCCACTCCTTGATATAGATCTCCAGCTCAGACTCCTCCCCCAGATCAAGACTCACCCATCCCCCACTCTCCTGTACATCTCCACCTGGATGCCTCATAGGTACGTCAAACTCAACAAGACTAAACCAGAATTCCTGATTGCCTCCAAGGTTTCTGCATATTAGCTAATGGTATCTCTAGTCTCTCATCTGCTCAGGCCCAAGTCCTTGGTTTCATCCTTGACTCCTCTTCCTCTCTCTCAACACACATCCAACCCCAGCAAATCCCCTGGCTCTACTTTCAAAGTATATCCCCAATCCACAACTTCCCAGCAGCCCTCCACTAACCTCCCTGGTCCATTCCACCTCCATCGTCTGCCTGGTCTCCCACATGCCTCCTCTCCTGGCTTTTCTTTCCACCTCTGCCCTCTATCCTCTACTCCCACACCTGCCATGGGGATGCTTTAAAAAGACGAGTCAGGGCTTCCCTGGCAGCACAGTGGTTGAGAGTCCGCCTGCCGATGCAGTGCCCCGGTCCGGGAAGATCCCACGTGCCGCGGAGCGGCTGGGCCCGTGAGCCATGGCCCCTAAGCCTGCGCGTCCGGAGCCTGTGCTCCGCAACGGGAGAGGCCACAGCAGTGAGAGGCCCGCGTACCGCAAAAAAAAAAAAAAGGACGAGTCAGAGCAAGCCACTTTTCTGCTCAAAACTCACCCATGGCTTCCATCGAACTCAAAATAACAGCCAGTCTTAACCATGGGCCACAGGGCCTTTCCTGATCCGGCCCCTCCTCACCCTCTAGCTTCACCTCGTCCCCCTCCTCCCTTCTCCCCCGACCCCTACTCAGGCCACACCAGCCTCCTTACTGGTCCTGGGCCACACTAAGCACTTCCCACCTCTGGCCTTTGTCCTCACTATGATCTCACTCTGGAAAGTTTTTCTCCAGAAGCACCCATGCCCCTCCCTCATTCCATCCAAGGCTCTGCTCAACTGTCATCTCCTAAAAGGGCCTTCCACCCTGACCACGGCTCTCAAGGTCATCTCTGCCAGTCCACTTTGCCCACTGTATTTCTCTCTACAGCCTGACCACCACCTGCCACACTACAGATTAACACCATTTAGTGTCTTTCTCCTGCCCCAAGAATGCAGGTCTAAGAGCAGAGACTGTCTTGTCCCCTTGTATCTCAAGCGCCCAGAAGAGTCTGGCACCTAAAGGCCCTTCCATAAACACTCAGAAGCCTCTTGTCCACTCAAGCCTTCACTGTTTCTCTCCTTCTGACAAACTTCCAATAGCACTTTCTGGGATGATGGAAATGCTCTATGGTCTGGGCTGTCCAATATGGGAGCCACTAGCACATGGGGCCATCAGGCACCTGAAACGTTTAAATTCAAACAGCCACAGCGTGGCCGGAGCCAATGTACTGGACACAGCAGTTTTAGAACAACTGGGAAACAGTTGTAAACTGGCTGTTAGCTTGCCCTTTGCAGGAGGGGAGAGACAATAAGTTAATGTGAGCATTTGGGTTCCAGTTTTCAAAGCACTCTTTTGCAGAGCCTAGCATCCATGTAAATGTTCTGGCATTGGCTTCCCAAAGGAAAGATCAGGTGAGGACAGGTGAGTGAGCTCTGAATGGGAGAGCCATTGTGAGAGCACAGGACAGGCCTGGGGGTTTGGCTCCCTGGGCCTTGGTTTTCTCATCAGCAAAATGGGCCAGATACTTCCCACCACACCAGACAGGAGCAAGTGAAAGGACCTTGTGAAAATGTTCATCATGAGCTTTATAAAAGCTCAGTAAATTGACACAGCATTATTACTTTGTCTTCTCTAGTGAAAACCTAAGAACTAATCATAGACAGTGAAGGGAATCTCATTTAAGGGACCTAAAAATCTGTAGCAAGTGTAGCAGGCACCCTGGGGTCTACAGGGAGAAAACTCAAAAGGACAAGAGGAGCCGGCCCCTGGGGGAGGGCTGGGAGGACCACAGGGCAGCGATGGGCCAGACCACTGGACAGACGTTCCTGGGAACAGAAGCCTGGATTTGCAACAGGGGTCAGGGTGGAAAGGGGATATAAGTGGTGAGTGGGGGGCGGGGCAGAGTGGTCAGGTGTCTACCATGGACAGGTCACCTAGAGGTGGGGGGAGGAATGGACAGGAAATTAGGGTGTGAGGGTGACCCAGAGGAAACAACCATCAAAGGCCAGAGGCTGAGGGGTGGGGACTGAACCTAGTGGATGCAGCCGGGTGAGCAAGGGAGTGGAGAGTAGACATCAGAACTGATTAGGAGGAAAAGGCAGGGGGACTGGTGACCAGATTTGGCGGAGGGAGGGGGAAATCTAGGGTGACAGCCAGAGCTCTGTGCCCTCCCAAGTTAGGGACCACACAGGAAGGGGCAGGGTGAAGTAGAAAATAGCTAAATTTGCAGTCACAGGAAACCCCAACAATAGTGCTTTTTATCAACTGCTACACTCTCCCGAAGCGCTCACCTGTGTAAGATGCGCTACCTACACTCCTGAGCTCATCTAAACTCTCACATCGACCCTCTGGGGTGGACCCTGCAACAGTTACAGGAGACCGAGGCACGAGAAGGGAAGCTACCTGCCCTAGGTCACAGAGCTCTTAGGTTGCTTGGGGAGACCGACCCGGCCTCTGGCAAGGTCCAAACCCACAGCCACCAGCCACACCGCTGTCTCCACCTTTCCAGGGAGTTTTCTGGCCACAAGCGTTAAGGAACACGGGTTGCATCCTACTCAGATCCCGCCCTCCCGTTAGGGTAATTTCCCTAACCCGAAGGGGCCTCCCCGCCGCGGGTATAGGGTGAAGCCAAACTTCCCAACTCAGTCCCGAGACTGGGGGCGGGCCCTCCTTACCTCCGCGGTCTGCTCGGGCCCCACCCCGGGAGCGGAGCGGGGATCCTGGGGAGGCTGGGCACCGAGGGGGCGCCGGAGGGGCCCCGGGTCCGCCGGGAGCCGGCCTCGGTCCCCGGACCCCGCAGGCAGCGCCAGGGCGGCAGCCAGGAGGCCCCCGGCCAGCACCCACGTGGCGCGCCCCCGGGCGCCCGCCGAGCCCATCGACAGACAGGGACGCGAGACCCCAGACGTGGCTGGGGAAGGCCGAGCTGGAGCAGCTTCCGGACCCCAGGCCCGCCCCGCCGCCGAGCATGCTCAGTGAGAGCCTCCGCGGAAAGTTTCCTGGAACAGACAGAGGCATCTGGGGCTTGGCGGGACCGGAGGAGGCTGAGGACCAAGACTGGCGTGGGAGGGAGGGAGCCAGGCTGGCGCGGCGGGCGCTGGGCGGCCACACTTGAGTTTGATCGCGCCCCAGCCGGGGTCTCTACTAAAATCAGATTGGGTGACCCCTGCTTCCAAAGATTTCAGGGGCTCCAAGTGCCCCTCCGTTAATGCCTCCTCCGTTCTCTAAGTCTCAGCTCAGACTCACCTGCTCCAGCAAGGCTTCCCTGACACACACACACCGTGCTGAATCTGGAGTCTGCCCAGGCCCACCAGCCCCCTATTAGAGAACTGTGAAACTTTTGGAGAGGCAGGGTCATGGGGACACAGGACAGCAAGGAGAGGGGCTGGGAGGGAAAAGGCAGCTCAGAGGCTAGAGAGGAAGGCCGCTGTTCATGTCCTGTTGGGTTCTGTTCAACCCAGTGAGGTTCCCACTGTGTGAACCCTTGCTGTGGATGAGCCCTTGAACATGTCCAAGAAGCCACCCTCACGTTCCCCCAGGAGGGAGGGGTGGGCAGGTGGTCAGGACAGCCATTGGGGGACCTCTCTGGGGAACCAAAAATAGGGGAGTTGGTGTCTGGAGCCAGGAGGCAGCAGCTGAGCAAACTCCCAGAACTCTCCACGGCAGGAGGGCTGTTACTACCCTGGGCCCCCAGCGACAGCTTACACCTCTTCACCCTCCTGCAGCCTTCCTGCAGGGCAGCCTCAGGCCAGGAAGCCTGGCACCTGTGCTCCTTCTTACCCAGCCCCTCCGAGGATCGTCCTTTCCTGACTTGACAGGGACAAGACAGTGGGGTTTGGGAACCTGAGAGTTTATTAGCCAAGCTTTCCACACAGGGTACACTGTCCTTGGGGGTATGCAGCGTGTGCCAGGAGTGAGACAAGGCCAAAGACTAAATGCTAGCATATTGCTGGAGCATTAATTCTATTAGTGAGAAATGTAAAGGATGATTTCGATATGCAACCAATTTTATAATAAACATGCAAAGAACACTACATTTTAAGAAATGAAAGCCTGAGGATCCAAGGAAATAGCCAGCATAAAGCAAGAACTTCTGGTTGCCCTCATACATGTTCCCAGGAGCCTTGGAGCTGCTCCCAAGCAAACATTTAAGAAGCACCGCATGGCAGAGAGTGTGAGTCCTGAAACCAGACAGACACGGGTGTGAATATATGTGCCCAGTTTCCTATTGCAACACCTTGAGTGAGCCACTTCTCCTGTCTGGCTGTCAGTTTCTTCATCTATAAAAAGTAAATCTAGGTAATAGTTCCCATCTTGCCAACTTGGAAGGAGTGAAGAGGAAATGAGTTAAAAAGCCAGAAACTTGAGCTGGACGTCCAGGTCAAGGACAAAAAACCCCTCTCTGGATCCCCAGAGATCCCCATGGTACCCCTGCTCTGGCCCTCACAGGGAATTAAGCTCCAAAGGGTAGGGGTGTGAGTGCATTCATGTGCGCATGCACGTGTGTGTGTGTGTGTGTGTGTGTGTACCCCAGCACCCAGAAAGAGAGCTAGCATCAGTAAATGTTGCTTAAAGAAAACAGTTGCTGAATTCTGCCTATCTCCCCACATAGCTGTGAAATCCTCACTGGTGGACCTTGTCTGGTTGGTGGCTGCCTTGGTGCTGATTCAAACAGCAGGGTCTCTGGAAATGCTGAGTGAATGAATGACCACGCAGCATCTCCTGGCTAGCAGGGGCTGAGGGTAACAATCTCCCTACACGTAGTCTTAGAGGAAAGCATTGACCATCCTGGAAGAAAATAGTATTAAAACAGGAGTCTGCAGGCAAACAAGTTCAGAGGCACGGCCGGACTGTGCGGTCCAAAGGGGGTCAATTGGTAGAGGTCAGGAGCAAGGCTGAGTCAGATTCGCAATGTATCACTTGGTGCTGACCCTGAGCCTCTCAGCAGGAAGGGCGCGTTAATAGTGCCCATCTCCAGAAACTAACACGCCATTGTAAAGCAATTATACTCCAATAAAGATGTTAAAAATTAAAAAAAAAAATAGTGCCCATCTCCGAAGCTTGTTAAGAAAGTTACTCGGATCATCAGGCTAAATGCTTAACAAATCCTAAGCACTCAGTAAACAACCGAGCAACACCCTCCTCCCTGGCTGTGGTCCCCTCCCCCTCTGGAAGTCAAGAGGCCCGTGCAAAACAAGACTCCTCTCAAAAGGTCCTCCTGGCTGAGAAGCACGTCTCTGGCCGGGCATGCTCAGTGTAAAGGCAGGGCTGGAGGCGGGGGTGGTTCAAAGTTTTGGGCGGAAGGTCCAGGCTCCTCCCTCTGGCTGGGCAGCGCCGGGAAGCTGGAAGGGGAGCTGGAGGAAGGAGGCTGCACAGGCCGGAGGAGTCGGCGGAGCGCGCCGCGCCCCTGGCCCGCCGGGGACCAGGTCCACGGAGGACCCGGCGGGGATGGAGCTCCGAGCGGCGGGAGTGGGCAGCGCGCGGCAGCGGGTGGGATGCGGCGGGCCGGCCGCCTGAGCACCCCCGATGGCCCGTGGCGCGGCGACCTGCGGGAGCGACGCGCGGCTGCAGCTGGGCCGGGACGCGGTGCGGCCGGCGCCCGCGCTGCTGGTCCCCGCCGTGCTGCTGGGCACCGCGCTCGGCCTCGGCCTCGGCCTTGGCCTCTGGCTCGGCTGCCGCGCCGCCCGCCCGCGTCCGCCGCACCAGGTGGGTCGGCCGAGCGTGCAACCGGGGTGTGGGGCGCGGGGACGCGGTCTTCCTCGGCTCTGTGGTACGGGTTTCCATCCCCCTTCTCTGAGCCCATTTGAGCGTGATCTTGGGCATCGCTTGCAAAAGGTCTTGCCCTGGGGGATTCCCCTTCAGCTTCGGGAGGCGGCTGGAGACAGTGATTTCAGGGGGAGCCGGCCAAGTGACAGAAGGGCTCTGGCTTGGAGTTGCCCCGAAGTGTCTGCTCCATCTGACAACGCTGTGTGACCTTAGCTGATGAAGGCCTGCAGGCCTCAGTCTCCTCATCTGTAGCACTAAGCGTTTGGACTTATGGGCGGAGCTCAGCGTGGTGGACAGGAGGGCAGGGGATTTCCCCGCCCCTGGATGTCCGTTCTGCTTCCTTGCTGTGTGCATTACCCAGTTAACTCCTCTTGAGTCCCAGCTGCTACATCAGCATGCATTCAACATTCGATCACACAGCAAGAGTTTGCTGAGCACCTTCTACTGCCAAGCATGGCCTAGGGGCTTAGAGACCACATCAATGTACAGGATAAACCCTGATCCTGCCCCTGGAGGTTCACAGCCTCTGGATGGACAGATTACAAGTAAACACTTGATTATAACACAGCCTCATCAATGAGTTGTGTGATGGAGGAATGAAAATGCTAGGATTTATTGAATTCTGGCTGTATGCTGGGTGTTGAGCTACACTTTCTACCTGAAAATGATCTCATTGACTCTGCAAAACAGCTTGTGAGCTTGTTCCATTAATGGCCCCATTTTGCAGATGAGAAAACCGAGGCACAGAGGGTTAAAATAACTTGCCAAATGACAGGCGTGTGTGTCTAACCCCAAAGCCACTGTATAGGAGGTGGATGGGATTGGTCACAGGTGGCTGCCTGAAAGGGATTCACGGATGCTTCATATGGCAGTTGTTATGGGATCGGATGTTGTGTGGAGGTATCGGGCATGCAGCAGGGATTCCATCACTGGTGGTATGATCGCTGTCTTAGGTTCCTGCAGCTTTGACCTCTTTGAGGGATGAAATCTGGTGGGATCTGAGATAAGGTGGTGTGGTTTTGTTCCCCCATTCCTGGCCCACACAAGAAGGGGATGCATCCAGCAGATGTAAGCATCTCACATGGCAGGGGAATTCAGGGGCGTGTCGTGCTGCAAAGTGGTGATAAAAGTTGAAATTAACATAGTGCAAGATGCTCGTAGGTAAGTTTGAGATTGTCACATCCCGCTGGTGATTAAGAGACACTGGCTCCTTGTGTGAAGAGGGAAATAACATGTCAGAGCCTTTCCTGGGTGCCGGGCCCCTTGCCAGGAGTTTGCGGGCATTTGTTTCTATATTCTCACTCCAAGCCTTTGAGTGGGGGGGGGGGGACTGTCAGCCTCACTTTCCAGGTGAGGACATCTAGGCTCTGCAAGGTTGTTCTCTGTCTAGGGTCACATGATGAATAAACAGTGGCTGGACTTCAACTGCAGTCTGTCTGAACCCCTATGTCAGAGTGTTTAGTCATCCGCTACCTGGTAAGGTGGCAGTTGGTATCTGTCTTAGTCTGGGCTGCTATGACATAAATACCATCAGCTGGGTAGCTGATAAACAACACAAACTTATTTCTCACAGTTCTGGAGGCCGAGAGTCCAAGATCAGGGTGCCAGCATGGTTGGGTTCTGGCTAAGGTCCTCTTCCAGGTTGCAGATGACTGACTTCTCGCTGTGTCCTCATAGAGCAGAAGGGACAGGGGAGCTGCTGGGGCCTCTTTTATCAGGGCACTAATCCCATTCAGGGGGGGCTCCACCCTCATGACCTAATCACCTCCCAAAGGCCCCACCTCCAAATACCATCACCTTGGGGGTTAGAATTTCAACACATTAACTGAGAGGGAAAGGGACACAAGCATTCAGACCATAGAGCAGCCCATTTCGCAGCTGAGTAAGCCGAGGCTGACAGAGACTCACCAAGCTGTCTGGGTTTCCACAGCTGGTCGGTCACAGCTGCACTAGTCCAGTTGAGGGTGGTCGTGGCTCAGACCAGGTTTGTAGCTATGGAGGGGGCTCTGGCTCAAGGGTAGGGCTGATTGGATTTTCTGATGGTTTGGATGTGACCTTTGTAGCACTCCTTTCTAAGTGTCCTCCTTTCCTCCGTCTCCCGCCTCTAGTTTCTATTTCTAAAATAGAAGCAATATGACTGTCCTAGTTAAAAACCTCC